TTTGTGGGTAAACACAGATTTGCAACTTGTTAAGACCTTGATTCTGCCTTTCATTTCTGCCAAAGGCTTCCTGCGCATGCCAGGGCAAATCACTCAACCCTTCGGCTAGCCTGCTGAGAGCTGCTGGAGGAAGGTGGCAGCATCCTTAGGTTGTGCCCTCTGCCACGTGCCCAGAGCAGCGGGGATACAGCTCTGGCCTTTGTCCATCTGCAGCTGTCTGACCAGGAGGATGGAGGGAATCAAGCTCTTGGGAAAACTGCAGCGTAACAAAATCCTGGCCTGTGTTCCAGCCCAGGCGGTAGAGAGGCAGCATGACGCAGCACGCCAGGACCCCACGTGTGTGCACTGGGGCCAGGAGCCGTGGGGAGCAGAGCCAGGAAAGTCTGGAGGAGCCCAGAGGGCTCACTGAGCTCAGCAGCTTACCAGCTGCCCACAGCAGCCATTGCCCACCCAGGGGGACTCATGCTTCAGCATTTCTCTGGGCAGAAAAAGCCTTTAGATAGCCAAACAAAGTGGTATCTCAATAGAGGGCAAATTTACAGCCTGGCTCTAATTTGGTTTTCGCTGCCACAGCAGGATGAGGAGTAAATTCCTTTTCCTTAATTCAAGGTACATATTGACATTTAATCATCCAAATATGCGCCTCCTTTGACAATTCATTTCCCTCCAGCCTCCTTCGACAATTGCCTCTTCTGGCCAGGGCCCTATAAAAGAGGATTTTTTGACTCCATTGTGAAGGAAATGAATGTCTCTGGCACTCTCTCTCTTTTCTTTTTTGTTTTTCAGCAGGATATATTTCAGTTTGTGCCATACGGATGCTGTTTGACAGGAATATTAGCTTTCACGCTTCTCCAGGTTTGCAAAGTCAGGACATAAAGCCATGTGGCCTTCTCCCACCCACACCCCTCCCCTTTCCCCAGTCCTTTCTGTGTCCCCTGCCCCTCCACCCCAGGGAATTGTGCTGCTTCTTTTGCCCTGTGGCTTCTGCCTTGCAAGCATTTCTGGTGGCTCTTGGTTGTCCCATCATAACACCCCCACAGACAAAGTTAACTAGATTTCCTTTTGAGCTAACCGCAGTGAGGGAGATTCCTCTTACCCTCCAGTGGTGGATCCTGGCTGGATAGCACCAATTTGGTCCAGTTTGGGCACTCTCGCCTTTGGGCTCAATTTCTCCACTGCCAGCTGCCTGTGACCTGACATCCCCAGCACAGCGTCAGCTCCAGACATGACCAGCCAGGAGCATAGCCATGAGAATGGCTGGTGTGGGTGCACAATGGTGTTTCCAGCAGCCTGGCTGCATGCAGTTTATTTTCTAGGAAGAAAGAGCCAAGAACCTGCCACCTCCACACAGACAGCAGAAAGGGATGCACGATAGGGAGAAGAGGGTTCAGGCAAGTAAAAACACTGGGAAATCTCCATCAGATGCACATGGACACACACACACGCACATCCATCCATGGTCCATCCTGAAATAATGTCCTCCATCAATGCTCATGCAAGCGTCCAGGGACAGCAGCAGCTCAAATCCCCCTCCTATACCCGTGACAGTGTTGCCTTCCTCTCCCATCTCAAACTGATTTGGCCCAGTCGCATGCTGGACAAGAAAGGGAAAAAACGGGATGTCAGCCTCTGCCTCCGAGGACGTATGCCCTGTGCCCTTGATCATACAATTTTAGTGTAAAAGCTGGAGTGAATAGTGCAGAAGGCATTGAAGACAGCAGGCTGGTGCATCATGTGGCAGCAGCCAACATCTCCTTCCCAAGAGGAGAAACAAAGACAGTATATTGTGGCATCAGCTCTTGAGTAAAACTACATGAGACTTTTTTGATGCTCCAACTTGAGTTCAAACCATGTCGCTATGAGACCATATTTTTAAAGTAGTTTGAAATCACATTCTCAGTTTGAGTTTTTTGGTCTCTGACAGCATTCTCTAAAGGAAGAAAGCATGTCCCTGGCATGTTGCTGGCCAGTCAGAGTCTGCCTTACTTCAGTAGAGACAGGTTTCTTCTCTCCTTGCATCTCATGCAGGTTGCAACGGGAGAAAATTAGTCTTCCACCCCTGTCATATGAGGCAACAGGCTCAAATACATTCATGGAGTGGGGTGTATTACACAAGGGGCAGCTACGTTTCCCCCATCGGTAATCTGATTTGGCTTGGCTGGCGAGAGGTTGGCGCAGCACGCGAAAGCTGGGGTGAAAAGATCAGGCTGATGCAGATGGAGGGGAGAATCCGGCAGCGGTCAGAGAGCAAAGCATAAGGGAGAGGCAGCAGTGGGACGCAGGAGTGTCACCAGCTGTAGGCCTCGAACCATGCGTGGTGGGCTGGGTTCTTTCCAGGTAGGCACGCACAGCAAGGCGTTAGCTGGCCTTGCTCAAACGCTGCCCTCTGCGGAAAGTAGCAACCGGGGATGTGGGCCTGGGTATCTGCTGTGCCCTTAACCTTACGTCACGTCCAAGTGTGCGAGAGGCAGACGCCGGGGGGCGAGGTGCGAACGCAGTGGCAGAAGCCGCTCCAGGGGGGAGCAGGACAGGGGGTGCGGGGGCCATCCCCGCTTTTTGTTTGGGTTCAGCCCCAGTCCCGCGGCGCAGAGGAGGTGCTTGTGCAGGACCAGACACCCGGTGTCACGCAGATGTCCCCTTGCGGTGGGCAGAAGCCCCCGCGCTGGCTCTGTGCCCCCTCTGCGAGTCCAGCCGCGGTCGGGGCTGTCCCCCTGCCATGCCCCCGCCGTCGATACGGATCGAACGAGATGCCGCGAACAGTTGGAACTGCTGGTGCTGAGAATCCCCATGAGATGATTTAGGGGAGGAGGATGCTCAGCCAGGGTTCCTGGATGAGCTCTGCGGGGATTTTTCTTTTTTGTTTACAGCCTGAGAGTTAATTTATTCCTTGGTTTACTTACAACAGGGATGAGGATACGTATGCAGAGTAGCAAATCCATTAAGAGGTTTGATAGATGGAGGAGTTGGCGCTTCTGTTGTACTAGATACAGTAAAAACAGCAGGAGCTCTTTCAAAGATGTGATACGATGTGCTGCTGCAGGAGTGCCTGCACATGCTTTCGGGTCCTTCACCGTCGTGGTGCTGGGAGTCACACAAGTGGCAGGAAGCGCTGCTGACCTTCAGGGGTGGCCTTTGTTAGCTGAGGGTTGCTGTGGGTTCTCATGGGAGGTTGTTTGGGGTTTCCAGTCCTTTACTTGTAACTAATGGGCTGCCAGAGACTCGGTCTTGGCACTAGAGACTTCTTCCTCACTTACCACAGAGCTACTAAAATGACTGAGCTCACTCCGGTATCACAAGATCCCCACTAACCCAGCACTGCGCCTGCCCAAATGCAAATTTATCGGGTGCAGGTCACAATAAAGACCTGAATCTGTTTTGTACAGGTCAGGCTGCTGCCAGGTTCCCTGTGAAACAGCCCTGCTGCGTGTTTCTGGGTGATGGACACCTGCACAGCATGGCTCCTGTGCCGGGCTGGGCCTGCATGCCCAGCCAGGAGCTGTGTGCTGCTGGATGAGCGGCTGGATGTGCTGCTTGGCTGAGCAGGCATTCGATCTGATGTGACATGTAGAAGAGAAATGCCTTTGACTCTTTGCAAGGGTCGCTTTGCCTTTCTGAGGAGGGAGCCCACTTCCACATATCACCCTGGGCAGCTTCTCCCTTGCGGCATTGGTGTGATGGCCACCAGGAGTGTAATGTGGTAGATCTAGGGATTTTCAGATCAGACCTGAAGATGGCTAACAGGGACACTTGTCTTTGGGTGCTCCTCCAAATCAAAGCAGTAGGACTGCAAAGGGATGTCAGGCCCTGGAAGTGCAGCCTCTGCAAACTGTGCTGTTCACTCAGGAGGGACATTGCAAATTCAGTGATGCATACACATGTTTCTGCTTTAAGGTACTGGAGCCCTTCCCTTGCAAAGGGGAAGAAAACCATAAAGGACCTTGGGGTGGTGGCAATATTGGTCTCTAGCTGCCTAGGGATTCCTGGGCTGCTTTGCTGGAGACATTTGCATCCACTGGTCCTCCAAACACCCAGACTTATACAGGGCAGTCTCAGAGCAAAGGCTGGATAAAGGAATATCTGTCTTGCTGTGTGGGCTCTGGCAAGCCCAGATCTGCAGGCAATGGTCCTGTAGTTAGGCTGAGTCTTTAGTAGCTGTCCTGGGAGTCAGGGCTTGGTCTAGCTAATTCCTGTGGTGATAGTAAAATACTGATTTCCGCTGGTTTTAACGCTCAGGGTCAGACTCTGCAAGGATGTCAGGGTTGTCGATTTGATTTGAATGAGACAGAAAACTCACCAGAAGCATTTCTCTGCAGCCAACACTGCAGTGTCCCTATCCTGGGAAGTCGATGGGCTTGGCTCTTGTTTTTGCCTGCTGTTTGGAAGATCTGATGTCACCTTTGCTTATCCCCCTGGCATCAGGTCAAAAGAGCAGGCTGTTCTTTGACAGGGTGCTCACCTCCATGTTCAGCTTGCACCCATGTCCTCGAGAGGCAGCAGACACCTCCTGGAGAGCAGCTTTGCTATGGAGTAGTTCCACTGGACCTGGCCAGGGCCAGGGCTTCCCTGGCCTGTTGTTTTGGGACCTCTGGGCTAGAGGGTCAGGCTGGGGGAGTGGGAGACGTCCCTGTCCTTTGTGGCAGAATGATGTGTCTGAGAACTGAACAGGCTTTGGCCTGGGAGAAGCTTTTCCCATCAAAGTCAGAGAACGCTGCCAACAAATCCTCTCTCCCATCACCTTAGAGAGCGCCTTGGCCTGGGGTGTTGGCTGGCAGCACGTAGGGGCCAGAGACTTTGGGCAGCCCCAAGCATTGCAGAGCTCTTGGAGCACTAGCCCCAAGGGAGTAGTGGGGCCTCAAGGATTCCCCCCTTGCTGCCAGGAGCCTGGTTGCTCATCCTGGGGCAGGAGATGACTCTCCATCACTGTAGCATCATCTAGTGGCGAAGGGCACGGCCAAATGCGTCAGCTCTGGTTATGCCGTTTTGCAGTGCTGCCAGTGTAGCTTGAGGTAACGCTTTGTGCCTCTCTTCTTGCAGGGGGTTATGAGCGTTTCTCCTCGGAATACCCCGAATTCTGTGCAAAAACCAAGTCACTGAGCAATGTGTCACCCCCTACCAGCGCTGAGTCCCTGGATCTGGGCTGCAGCTCCTGTGGGACTCCTCTTCATGATCAGGTATGTCTAGAAACCCAGCGCTCAGCTATTTTTGACTGCTCCTTCCAGCACTGCAACTTGGTCCTGCTGGAGTGTCCCTGCTGTCCCTCAGCTGAGGCCTGCAGAGCCAGAGCCCTGCTCCCTCTCTTCTCGTGGGAGCACGGCAGTCCTCCAGATCCCAGTTGTGCTCCCCAGGGAGTGGACAAGCCCAAATTCCAGTAACCACACCGGCTCATTCCTGAATGGGACGAAGAGGAGCAGGGTTGAAATGGTTTTAACAACTCAGAAAGGCAGCCTCTGCTCCCTCTTTTGAGGTGCCAGGTTACTGCACTGCTCAGGGCCTCCAAGCCATCTGGGATGTGGGTCCTGCCTGCTGCTGACCCCTTGTCACTCCCATCTCTCTTGTTTTGCTCTGTAACAGGGTGGTCCTGTGGAAATCCTTCCCTTCCTCTACCTTGGCAGTGCCTACCATGCTGCCCGGCGGGACATGCTTGATGCACTGGGCATCACAGCCCTGCTGAACGTCTCCTCAGATTGCCCCAATCATTTTGAAGGGCACTACCAGTACAAGTGTATCCCCGTGGAGGATAACCACAAAGCTGACATCAGCTCCTGGTTCATGGAGGCAATCGAGTACATTGGTGAGTGCCTGTGTTTCACCAGGGGGAGATTCTTGCCTCAAAGGCCCAGAGCCTTTGGCTCAGAGGGGCTGGGGTTCACCAGGGTCCTGGCCCTTTGTTGCACTACTGGGAGGGAGGTCAGCCACCACCCGCAGATTTGGCGAGAGGTTTGGCTTTGTTGGAAGGGTACTGATCTCACATCTCCTCCCGTTACCCTCCAGACTCAGTGAAGGAGTGTTGCGGCCGGGTCCTGGTCCACTGCCAGGCTGGTATCTCCCGCTCAGCCACCATCTGCTTGGCTTACCTGATGATGAAGAAGCGTGTCAAGCTGGAGGAGGCCTTTGAGTTTGTCAAGCAGCGCCGGAGCATCATCTCCCCTAACTTCAGCTTCATGGGGCAGCTGCTGCAGTTTGAGTCGCAGGTGTTGGCCACCTCATGCGCAGTGGAAGCTGTCAGCCCCTCGGGGACACTGCGGGAGCGGGGCAAGGCCACCTCCACTCCCACCTCCCAGTTTGTCTTCAGCTTCCCCGTCTCTGTCGGTGTCCATGCCACCCCCAGCAGCCTCCCATACCTGCACAGCCCCATCACCACGTCACCCAGCTGTTAGCTCAGGGGCTGAGGCAGGCCAGGGCAGACAGGGCCAGGTGGGCATGGAGCCCCATGATGTTAAGCAATAGTGCTGGACACTGCCATTCACCCTGGACTCAACGTCTTTTTCGTAGAGAAATTTCTTACCTCATCTTGGTTTTGCTTTTTCATTTTATGTTTTGAAAACACGAAGTTGTAAAAGCCACAAACCCTGACATTGTCCAGGCTCTTCTGGGGAGGGGAAAAATAGTATACTGGGTTTCCTCAAGTGCCTGGTCTTCATCTCTGTCCATCCCTATTTTGCCATCCTGTTTTTTTTTTTAAAAAAAAAAAAGACAGACCTCTCCTTCTCCCTGTATTTCTGCCCCTAGCTCATCTGGGTTGAAAAGGGAGCATACCCTCTTTTTATTGTGCGGCAGTCTTCCCCCTTGCACAAACCGACACGGGTGTGTGTGGTGGGTGCTGTTTACCTGAGCCAGTTACACGGGGTGACAAGCAGAGCTGCAGGCAGGGCCTTGGGGCAAGCAGGAATGGTGGGGGCGCAGGGCTGCCTGCACCTCTGCCACTGCCTGGGGAGGTGATGCTGCAGCTTTTGGTCCAAACCTAGAAAATGCCTCGTCTTCAACCCACCTGGAGCCTTATGTCCCACCCTGCCTCCCTCCTTCTCCCCAGTCCAGTCCAATACACAAGATGCCTGTGTGGCTGATGTACATATGTATGGTTTTCCCTTTTTTTTTTTTTTTAGTAATTAACTTTTTATTTATTGCCTGAGGGAGGGAGAAAACAAATTGTTTGGAGAAAATAAAAATAAAGCTGTTTTCAACAGTTGTGGCTGGCACAGTTTGTCCTAAGACCAAGACAGAATGGCACTTTGTGCAAACACTCAGCTTCCACAGAGTACCTGTTAAAAATGTATTTATTGAATTTTAAACTATTACAAGTAATGCAGATCAGACATTTAGCCAAGCACATTTATAGATCAAACTCGGTTGTTACAGAGATGTTACCTAAAGTCCACCATGTAGGTAGGCTGAGAACCTGCCCATCGTCTTTGAAAAAGAGGGTAAAGGAGGAAATAAATAAATGATATCCCAGCTCCAGGTAATTGGCAACCAAGAGAGGAAACATACAGGGACAGTTACTAAAACAAGATACAAAAAAGGGTTTAAAAACTCAACCCCCAGGTACGCTGCCATTTGGGTTGGTGGAGAAAGCAAATAGGAATGAAGATACACAAGCTTACAAGACTGTTGTATAGAAAAATCTCAATTTCAATTTCCAAAGCTGAAGCAACTTCTGCAGATGTTAAGAAAGTGTCAAAATTGCCTTGTAATACAGATACTCTAATTAAACTACATTAGTAATTAATGGAACCAACACTAAAACTTGCCACCAACAGGTTCAGTAAGACAGAAATTGATACCTCGAACCCAGTCTGACAATATGACCTGACAGGCATATGCGATAGTGTAATGGGAAATGCCTCTGTTTCTTATGTTCCCTACCAATTCATGGGCTCATTCACCTTGTTTCTGAAGTTCTAACATGCATATGCTGTCCCCTGATCCTCTGAGGTTTCATACCCACTATGTGTTCAAAGATGTAGGAACATGCCCACTCCATTGATGCTCCCTGTGAAGAGGCAGGAGTGCATGCTCTGGCCCGGGCCAAAGCCACCACCTCTGATCATCAGTGGGTAAGTCTGTGGATGCTCACACACCACTCGCTACCTGTGGCAAGAATTCAATCTGTACTTTCCTGTGTCTTTCCCAGCAGGGCTGCAGCATGGCTTAAAATGACAGAAGCATGCATTAGATGCATCTCCTTTTAGATTTCTGAGCTAGATTTTTCTCTGGCAAAGCAGCATGAAAAGGGAGAAATCCCCTTAAAAAATAAATTCACGCATTTCCTGACCTTCAGCTGCTGAGAATGATTAGCAATGTTCAAACTAATCTGTTTTGTGGTCAGAGCCTTCCTTCTACCCATCTTCTGAAAAAATCTGGGTAATTTCCGTTAACAGTCCCATGTGGAAATTCTAGGTAACACATGTACTGTGCAGGAGCTCTGACTTCACTGCACGAATGCAGGACTCTTTTTTGAAAACATTTGCCACTAAGTAGTTCCCATAGGCCACAGAGTGGCACGATATGTTGTTATACATTAGCACCCCTCAGCATGTCACACCTTCCCAGGGTGGTCTCCTCTAACCTACAACAACAGTAGGATCACATGGTTTTCAGAGCCAAGGAAGCAGCCTTCTCCAGAAGCTACTCAGTCTCACATACCACGTGCTTTTTCTGTGTCTGCTGCCCACCAAAGCCAGCAGTGCAGAACATTTGGGGGGGCTTCCTTTTTGCTTCAGTGTAGAATTTTGTTCTGGGGTATTCCTGTTATCAACAAGCAAAGTATAAAAATTTGCAGGCAAAAGAAATTCATTCCAGCCGCATAATGCTGTGGGATTCAATGGCATCACATGCAAACATTCAAAACAGAGGTTAGAAAAACACATTGCTCATTCCTTGGACTAAAGACCAATAGTGACTACAAAACAGTGGAACTAGTACAAGTGGTTTGTAACAGTCTCTGTGGAGCTGGGATCAAAACAGATTGGCAGATAAAATAAAGATGAGAAAATAAGATATACCTTATTAAGGTACTGTCCTCTCTGCTTTTAATCCTAACAGAAGTTTTGTTGACAGCATTCAGACTGCAATGTCACTGCAGCAGGTACCTAATTCATCTGTCTCGTGGAAACAATTTCAGCAACGGAGAGCAGAACAATCCCTTCTTTGCTATGTGGTGAAGTTTTTCTGTTTTGCCTATTAAGGTCCTGTTGAAAACTGCACAGATGTTTCAAAATGCTGCCTCAAAGGGACATGAAAAAAAATCCCATCAACAGGCCTGAAAGACAACTGTCCCCTTCCCCAGCAGACACCACATTCTGTCCCAGTGGGAAAAGCTCTTTCTGGAGCCAGTGAGAGGTGCCCAGGCTCCCAAGCCTATGAGAGATGGCTTAGCCCAGGGTGTTCTTGCATCCTCAGCTCCTACTGTGCCTCCATTGGTGACCCAAAGCTGCAAATGAGCAGCCCATTGTCAGGGGGCTGCCCTTCGCAGGAAGTCAAAAAGCTTCATTTCTCAGGAGGCAGCAGCTGCCTGGGGGTGTGCTATTTTTAAGGTCCCATTCTCTAGAATTAGGAGGCATCAAATTAACTCCCTCAGCTAAAGCTGCATAATCTGTACCGTAGCAACCTGCCAAATACAGCTCTGCCATCAAATCCATGACCAGATTTTTCATGGGTAACTTCCATATTATGGGCAAATCCTTACTTTGTTTTAAATTATAAGAGGAGCTACAACAACATATGCCAGGAGAGGCAGACGCTACTCCTGCAGAGGTTTCTATGACACAGACGCATCTTCAGGCCTCGGTATTCCTCCGTGTCTGGCCACAAACGGATATGAGATCACGCCATTACAAGACAAAAACCACTGCAAAATGACTTCCTCACACAGCACCTTTACTCTGCACAGAACATCAGATACGTTAACACTGGCAGTTCAAAGATACTGGACAGTATTTTCATCCTCTAGAAGTTCAAGGCTGCAGAAGAAATCCAGGCTAGCTGTTGGTTCAATCATCACACGGGAAACAAGCAAGAACAGGATCCGGTGCCAGCTTGGTGGGGTTTTTGTTTCCATGTTTGTCCTTGGTTTTGAAAGATGTAAAGCTTTTAACTTCCACACCCACATTAACTGTTTTGCTCACCTAAGCAGCACAACTGTTTTAACAATTTAAAACTATGTCTAACTGGGGATGGTGAGCAACACTCACTCAACACTATTTGAAACCCAAGTGTAAATAGGCACATCCCCCCACTCCATTATTAACTAAGTTAAAAACAAACCCCAAACTTAAAAGATGAATACAAATCTTCAAAGCCTAGTGGTGATCTTTGCAATCCTAACACTATTAAACAAGTAGCCAAAATACAAGCACCCAATTTTATCAATGAAATTTGATTAGAAGGCCAAGTAGGCTTGAGCCTGGCTTGGACTTCGAAGCTACATATTTAATCTGGTCACAAAATGAAGCGAGAACCATATATCCACTGCCAGCTCAAGGAAAATAAAACCCAAAATTCAAGATCTGTTGGAGTATTTCTATTTCTAAGGTTTTCTTTAGAGATATTACAAACAGATGATGTGCAGGTAGCCAGATTGCATCAAATGACTGACTTTACAGTGGGTGAAATTCCTCTGTGAGGATAAGTTGCTTCAACATTAATGTCTTAATGTTAAATATGAAAATTTTGTGTCTTAATGCTGGAAATGAAAAGCTCTTCATGTTTGTTTTATCCAAACATGTCAGCAAAATCCCACTTCTGGGGAGCACATATGTTTTTATAAACTAAAAGCACACTATTCTGTCATTTCCTTGCTTTAAGGGGGATTAAAACGTGAATGCGTGAACTGGATCATCAGATACTAAATAGTGCTGGTCTACAGGGAAATGTACCAGCTTGTTGTGTTTAAAGGAACATTTTTTTCCTCTAGTTGTTACATGCTCAACACTGAAGCATTTCTCCTGGTACTGGTTGTTAAGAAAAAAATTAATACTGCTCAATTTTCAACCTTCTCTGAAGCTGTAAAATCAACGCAAACAAAAAAATCAGTTTCTACTTTTGCTAAATGTGTATCCTCCATGAGAGGGACTTTTGAAATTGTTTGATGCTGTGCTATGCAATGCTTAAAAATAACTTTATCCAACCTAGTGAAATAAACCTGGGAACTTGCAGGGATGGGGATTAGAGTGAATAAATCCTAGCTTTGCTCTCTGGTAGACCTGCAAACAAATCCACCTAACAACTGATGTTTTAAAACTTCGTTCTCATCAATATGTAAAATCGATATTTAAAAAAATTATTTTTGTAAATCCCTTAAGCTCTTCAACTGTGATGTCCCACACAAAGATATGACACAAAACTTATATAATATATTCTCCCTTACCAGTCTGAAACCCATTTACCGGGTCTTGTATTACAGAGGAACATGAACCACATATGCCCTCATGTATGCAATCTTCTGACTTTTCACCTATCTTCCAGCAAAACCATATGCCACTGTAACAGGAGAACATTGCACAAACGGCATGTACTTAGTAGAAGCCTTATAAAATGTTCTCTTAGAGATGCCAGCAGAGGGCATTGACCTGCTTTATGAAGTTCTTCAAAGCACAAGAGCTGGTTTTACCCTTGCAAACACTTCCTGGGGCTTCCCCCAGAAAACTCAGACAAAGCAACCAACTGACACAATCTGTTTCCAGTCTGAAGTTACACTCACTCATCGTTTGCTCAAAGGTGTGCAAAAAAACCCCTATATTGAAGAACTGGACCAGACCTAGCCCCTTCTCAGATGAAATTCATATTGCATTGTTAATGATTTTAGTCAAACCGACTTTGTGCAAAATATCTTTAAGAGGGTTCCGGCTCAACTTCAGAATACAAAAGGAAAATAAATAGTTGACTAGGATCTCTTGAAAACAAAATGAATGGTGTATGCTGAAAAGAAAATTATGGGCTTAATGTAATTTATCTGCAAATAAAATAACTAGAATAGTAGTGTCTGAAATTTTAACATGCGAGATGGCACTGATAAAGATTTCCGTTTGCACAATAATGTTCCCAAAGTCTAGATCAAAACAACATTATTTTACACATGGTAACTGCAGAGACTAGGAGCCTGAGATATGTTATTAAAAGGCAGTCCCTTGTAAACTTTCCTCAGAAGGAACAGTAGCAGTTGAGTATGCAAGAGTTACTCATATCGTATTCATCAAGACAGCAATGCTTTGTAAAAGACATACAGCTTATTTCCAGGTTGTTAAGGATTTTATATGACACTGATTTTCTGAAACATGTATCCATCCAGTCCAAGATTGAAGTCACATCCTTCTTCACTGCTCAGTAGCTACTAGGTCTTTTGCTCTGCTGCTGTTGCTGTCTGTGAGGGAGCTTCTGGTTTCACAATCTGGTATGTAATGAGATACTCTGGGTATGCCTGAAAGTCAAGAAAAAACAAACAACACTGCTTCATGCAACAGTATGCTCAGCAAGTTCACATTTTGGATTTTACTGATGAGTGATCAGGAAGGACAGTGCAAGAATCAGCTTTATGTCTGCAGAGTGCAAAAGAAAAAAGCAGATTTCAAACCTAGTCAACATTAAGTGGGAACTGCTTGATGTAGTTAATACCTTTGTTAATACACTAGTAGAAAGAAAGATGTTTCTTCTATGCAGGCACCGTCAGAAAATGTGCATGCAACAGGAGTTCAGAGTTACTCTCCTTGTTAGCTAATCCTACAGAGCAGTCGGTGCTTATAAGTTATTAAAAAATCTCAGATAACCAATTTAGTCTGACCCTAAAATGCTCACTGACTTGCCACGTGACCTGCAAATGCTTTGACTGGCAGTAAAATACTTGGTACACTCAAAGCATGTAACCCAGACATCTGTTCAGCGTTTTCTCAAGACAGCTGGTAGAAGGTTCAGTCCCAGAACAAAGCTAAAGTTTCTGGAGGGCAAGGCCCCATTCAGAGGAACCTAGACAGATGAGAGGAGACCAGGCCAACAGAAGCCTCACAAAATCCAGCATGGGCATATGCACCTGCAGTACATCAACAGCAGTGTAGCTAGTCAACTGAAATTATAAGATAGTCAGGGGGAGAGAGAGCACAGGATAAACCAGAAGAGGTGGAGGGAGATGGGCTTCTTCAGAAAAGGGAAGGCTTTGTGGGACCTCACAGCAATCTTCCATCAAGTATGGAAGGCTACTGACAAAACAGAGTCAGATTCTTTTCTGAGCTATGCAGCAGAAGATTAATAAAACAGGGGAGGTTCATGTGGATACAAAGAACATACTTTTGTTCTGAGGATAATTAAATAAAGGAACAAGCTGCAGAGAGAGGCTCTGAAACATCATTCTCTTAGGCCTTCGAGACCTGCCTGGTCAAAGAGAGCCCTCAGCAATCTGGTCTGAATTCACATGAACAGGAGGTTGAACTGGGTGGCCTCCCCAAGTTTCCTTCCAGCCTGAACTTACTATATAACCTTTGAGCCATCCAGAGTAGTAAGCAAACCACTTTTCCAGATTAATGGTCTGAGTTATTCAGATTAAAAATCAATGCTTGAAGATTGTTGTGCTACTTCAGCTGCCATTTAAGGGTAGTCTCTGGTAGACAGGGAATCTACATGTAAAAGGCCCAGAATCCACATTATCTACAAGAGCCCCAGAAATGCACGTGTTCTTATTACTGCAGTAATGCCAGTAAAATGCAATGGGAGAACCAGTGCCTCCCGAGAGAAACTACAACTATTAACAGACTACCAGTGCTGCAGAGGAAGAAGTTAGGCAATTCTGTATGGTGTAAATCAGAGCAGCTCAGTGGAAATAGCATTTGCTCACTTGATACATTAAAATGAAAAAAAAAAAAATAAAAAAAAATCAATCTAATCAACCAGGTTATCACAGCACACTTGGTACAGAAACCAGTCACATCCCCTCTCCAGCTCTAAGCTCTGCCCTTCCATAAGCCCAGTCCTTGTTAACCTACATACCTGTTCTCCTCTATAGATAACATATTCAGCATATGCAAGTCCATTCACGCTTGGCCGGCCAATAACAGAATGGTGCCCTGGAGGGGCATGAGCCATTTTCATTGTGCTGAACTGAAGAAAGGACTTTCCAAGGGTCACTCTACAGAAGAGCATTTGTCTAAAAGTAAAAAAGAAAACATAATTTTAAAATATCTTATTAAGAGCTGTATGCTTCCAGAATGATTTCAGACTCTTGAGTTTGTTACAATTAATTTCTCAATATTTTTTTGAGAAA